TGGAAATCTTCCATCATCACCCAGTGGGATGAACATTTCCAGGTAGAGGCCAAACAGATTACATCACTCTTGCACACCACATGACCTAAACACCAGACACACACACACACACACACACACACACCATGGTTTGTGCATGTAAATCATGCCCTTAATGGCCCCATGAAACAGGCTGAGGCAAGGAGACTGGGTCTCAACTCTATGAATAACAAAACAGATCCAGCTGTGGCTGCCAGGCATAAACATAAATAACAGATTGACATCTTTTCTTTTACAGATTTAATATTATCTTCCCCTGTGCGATAAATGAACCGGAGCGATCCAAGCTGCATTCAGGTTGAGTGAGGCCTGCAGAGAGCACGGCAGCCGCACCAGGTATTCCTGCTGCTGACTTCTCAGAAAGAAGGAATTGCAAAGCACTAATGCACCTTTCTGGGTTAGCTCCCCTCCGTGTGGGCTACAGCTACACTTCTGGAAGCTCCTGCTCTTTCAAATCAATTGAATTGTAGACTACGAGGCTCACAGGTATGAATGTATACTCTCAAGCTACTACTAATTCTGATATGACCATGTGAGCGATGACTGTAAAACTAGAGCCTATCATGCGACCAGCAAATGAAGCCAACGACAGCTAACGAGACACAGATGAATTACTCATGTAGAACAGACCGAGAGAGCGCAGGGAATAGTTCAGGCCCAGCAGTACTTCCTGTCACCCCTGTGATGTAAGTTCAGATATAGAGGTAGGGTATGATGGGTACATGCTGCTCAAATAATGAACGCCCACTGGGCCTTTGTCTGCACTTGTCCGGAACTCTTCAGAGGGAGCGACAGTAAAAGCACGTGGCCTTAAACGGCCTGACTTTTATTAGTGGCACAATGACCACATCTGCCAATGTCACTGCGACAGTTTTAATAGAGCTGTATTGTTCTGCAATCTGTCCAATAAAGACAGGGTGATGGCAGTGTTAGTCATTACACAGTGATGTCAGCGGTCTAAATGTCAATGTGAAACCACAAGGGAAGCTACGTTTTTCCTTTAAATCACACCACTGCTTCTGTTGTCTGAGTGTGTTACACATAGAGAGTGTGGTTGTGATTTGACTTCATTTGCCAAAAAAAAAAATACCTGAAGCAAAATAGTGTTACAACATATAACTTAATATTTCTCTTCTTGTAGTTTGTATTACTGCCACCTGCTGTGTGTATTTATAACTGATAAATGTGTTCACCAAGGGCCCCAAACTGAAATAAAATGTGAAATAATACAAATCTTAAACTCCAGATCACAGTGACTGCTGAGGATTAATTAAACATTTAAACTTCATCAACATAATTTTCACCACAGTACCTGTCATCTTTGCAAAGCACCAAGTAACAAGAGAATATGGCAGATATCACACCACGGCTTCCTGTGACACCTCGGTTGTTACAAAAAAGTTTTGTTTGATTTACAGTGTAAGGCCAATTAAAATGTCTCGACTTTGTACGGTTGTCTCAGAGGGATCGCCTCCACAACTTATCTTTTCAAATTAAGGAGGAAAAAAAATATTAATTATTTTCTAGCTCTTTACAAACTTAACTGCCAGTTTGGGTTTTTATTACAGTACTGTAGGTGGAATCAAACCCTAAGCTACTTCATGGCAGCTAGGAATTCTACAACTGTACGTCACAGCGCTGATATGAGTAAATTCAGGATGGCAGATGAGAAACCTTAGAAGAAAACAAAAACAATACCAACATCAACACATGTGGCTGAGAGCCACCGGCCAGTGCCAGTCGGTACAAAGGCAGTAAATCCAGTCGGTCTCTGAGTGGTCTTCACACAGAGCACCGTTTTAATGGGATCCTCAGGGCACTACATATCAACCCCAGGGGGGTGAGGTCATACACGGAAAGGCTTGTTTCCCTATAAAATAATGAGGTCACCCTGTGTGTAATGCGGCCACTGATGCAGGGTGAGCTGGGTGAGGCAGGTGGGGGCAGCCCCCACTCAACATCCATTTATCAAATTTGGCTCTGGATTTTCTTTTGCCCCGTGTTTTGCCCCTCCCCCTTTTTGGCCACCACCTCGCCACATCTTTAACTGGCTGTAATTTTCGACGCGTCATCAGCACCAGCAGGGTGTGACAGCCCGCTGCTTTTAATCATTGTCAATGAGGTGGGACTGTCTCCGTCTCCTCCTCACTCTCTATTTATTTCATCACGTTTCTCTGTCTCCTTCCCGCTGCGGGAGACAGTCAAAATGGAGAAGAATGAAACATGTGTGTAACCTTTCAAGGACAGCCGCGAGGATGGGCCGCGCGGCAAGAAAGCACTTTAGGAAAAGAAAACCACTGGTGCGGTTAATACAGAAAAGAAGAAGAGAGGGGGGAAATAGATGAGGGGGCCTGAGAGCAGACTACGTTGACTTCTATATATAGTCGCTGTAGCACGTGCTGAAGGCTAAAGAGCTAAAGAGAATTCACAGATGTATAGGCATTTACCAAACTGTTGCAAAGGACTGTTCGAGGAGACGTCTGGATGTGAGCAGGTTTATATTAAAGTCAGGTGTGACACAGACACAGGCTGCCAACACAGGGACGAGGACTTAGAACAACAAAATTATGAATAATAGTTCGTTGTAAAGCAAACAACCAAAGGCCTTTTTTCTTCTTACTACTCAACAGGACGGAAATGTATTTCTCGTAAAGACTGCTACTGACACTCGACCTGTCTACTGAACAATGTCTAACCACCAAATAATACAAGAAAGATGAGGATTAGGCTAATTCGCAACATTTTGCTTGTCGATAAAGAATAAACTTGCTCAAAAATGAGGGAACTCGCACAATGAAATGTTAATAAACAACGTTCTGTTCTGTTCTGATTAAAGGCGGTTATTGTTTGTATTGTTAATGATACAAGTCATAAATAAATGCAAAGTTTGCTGCCAGCAAAATGTCTTATCTGGCCATTTTTGAGTATAACAGCGATGTAAAAAAAACCATCACAAATAATCAATGCTATTTAAAAGGCTTTCGTGGAATTTTAATATATAAGGGTGAAGACTTTTTCTGAAGACAAAAGATAGAAATTGTATTTTAAAAAAAAGCACTGTTGAACAGAAAAGACAGGTTCCGAAAAAAAATGTTAAAATTCAAAGTCTGGTTATATAGGGTGGCACCAGCGCAGGACATGTTTTCGATTCAAAGGTTTGCCTGTGGGTACAAATGTAGGGAGCGAGGCTGCATCGTCCTGAGGAACATCCTTTCATTATGCTGGTAAAACATCTCCTCCAGCCCAGTGTAGCATTGCAGGTAAATAAGGCTGATTTTAGAATAATGAGCGCAGCAGTTGCTGTCTGGCAGGAGGCTGCTGCTGCTGCTGTCAGCAGGTTTCAAAAATGACTGTGAAAAGCAGTGGAATGGGGGCTATAATGGAAGCTATTAAAATTGTTGCAAAGATTACCAACATGTCCACCCACTGTAGGCTTCACTCGATGGAATCAGGTTGGCAGAGGGGAGGGAATTTCACTTGACAGGTAAGAGTATTGACAATGTGTTCTAATGCTCAGGGCAGCACAGATGAAATTAAAGTATATCATTATTTACAGGTTTAGAAGATCACTTGAACTTAATTAGACACAATGAGGGGAGGACCGTCACATACACACATACTGCTACATATATACATATGAATCAATAAGGCTGACCCTGTGACCGGGGTTTCATATCTGGCCATGGATATATATCTCAATATATATATCCCTGAACCTCCTTCATAAGCAGGTGTATCATCCATTTTAAAATAACATGAATGTTAATTTTAAACACATGAATAAATCAATATTTTCTAAGATTCTTTTTCTTTTTCTTTTTTGCTATCAAGACAATCTCTGTTTTTTAATATCCTTTGAGGACCAAAGTAAATGATTAAACTCATACATCACACTAACCTTATTACTGTGATGGCTGGATGTGGTCCTCTTTGGCAGAGCTGTTTGATTCCAGAGAATAGTTGGTGACGGTGATGAGCTTCACAGCTGGTTAGGTTCATAAATCTCTGCACAAAGCAGTCAGCTGCTCCAAACAGTGTTCCCGTGGTCTACAGTACGAGGAATCCTTTAAAAGGGAAAAACGAACGATCAATAAAGTTGCTGTGCTTTGTTCTGAAGCTTGATGTTTCTGTAATGCTGAAGGTCAGAGGTCAATAAAAGGCAGACAGTAGCAGGAGCTGGATCCTGACAATGGCCAATTTGGGTTAAGATAAGATAAGTTAAAATGATATTATTTGTGTTGCCCAATTTTACAGAACACATTTGTCTCAAGGACTAGTTTTTATATTAAGAATCAAGACTAACCTCCTTAAAAGGGAAAAAAATGTTTATACAAACAATGTTATATTAAATTAAAACCCAAAGTAAAGCAGAATACATGTTACAAATATTACCTATATATACGTATATGAGCGAAATTCGTGAAAAAACATGAACCAAGAGTTGCAGAAGAAATAAACAGGAGGTGACAAGTGTTCATTGCCTCAATTATATCTGATATGGAACCTGACCCTACAGTATCTGGGAGCCAGAAATCGATCACACGGCTTTTATCTTTTCATCTTTTTTCTTCGGTCCTCAGCTGCCTCTCCGTGTTACCTTATCCTCGTCCAAATTAAAATATTAAGCACTGTCCCCAGTCACTGTGAGTGTCAGTGCCAGAAATAAATAAGAGCCAAAATAGCATCATTAACCTCTTTTTTTTAAAACACTTGTGTCTGTAACTTTGACTTGCAGTCACTAATGTGTCACTGAGGAACCACATAAGACATGTCTTATACAATTACATACAATTATGCATAATTATATATAATTATATTCAGTTTCACTTAAGTATATATATATATATAAATTTATATATAAGCTAAAACTTAGAGCTAAAACTGGCAAATGTACTGTCAATTTTGTTTTTTCACACCATGATAAATATTTAAACAACATCAGAAGTTCTGGAGTTCCACATGAACAAACTTCAACACATTTGAATTCATTACTTTACTTTGTTGTAGGTTGTCGTGAATGCGGGCTCAGCCGTGAAAATGAGTCACCTCCGTCTATTTGCAATTTCGTGTTCGTGTAAAACTAAATCTTGTTCGGTGTCAGCAGGTCCATGTGCAGCCAACACAGTCCTCGTGCTTCTGCACAGTAGCTGTTCGGTTCTTGCAGCATTTTGCTACAAGCTCGTTCGTTCGTTCGTTCGTTCGTTCGTTCGTTTATAAACTCCGCCGGTGTTTGCAGCGCCGTGGACACAAACGTGCGTTCAGAACAAAAGAAACAACGACAAAACAGGAAAACACTTCGCAACAAACAAGCCAACGCCTTCTACCAACGTCACTGATTTCTTCTAGTAAGGTGTATTCCGCCCTGCTAGTTGCTTGACCAGTTTAAGAGTCAAAATTGTGAGTAATTCTTTACCAAAAACAAAAACGCTACAGAAGTGAATTATTGTGCAGTTGCTCTGTGATATTAGTCCTGGAGTGGTGTTTGTGAATATTATATCAATATATATAATATTCATACATATACATGCATTTGTTGTCTTGATCGTTTTTGTTAATGCAGCTAAAAAATAAAAGGAAAAACAATTTAAGTAGTGTTTTATACTGTATTTCAATAATTAAATTTGAGTAAAGAAAACAAAGCTTTTGAAATATTGTTTTATATTTGTCAATTCTTAACTGTTTTTTTTTTTTTTACAGTTAAACAAGTTATAGTGATATTAGGCTGTTGTAACAGTTTACGATGTTGTGTTGGTTAAAATTAAATGGGCATGTACATGAAGTATTTAAGAGGTTTAGTGATACATAATATAAGAGGGATTGTGTGTGTATGTATATATATATATATATATATATATATATATATACCTAAAATGATGTCATCAGGGCAGTACTTATCATGTGTGTGAGGTTTACGCCGCTGTGAGTTCATAGGCTCTAGACCAGAGATGCTGAGAGAGGTTAATGAGAGAGCTGGCAGAGTTATTAAGATCTCTGGAAGCCAGTGATCTGTGTGAGAGAGGATTAGGTTCTCTCTCATCATACACAACCTCAGTGGAGCCCGGAGCTGAGACTCGGGGAAGCTCACCAGATTAAAATATTCTCGTACAGAGCAAATAGCAGACGAGATGAGAGTCGACTTCTGTCGTGACAGTGGAGCAATCAAGAAGGTCAACCATGAATCTGGGTGTTCGAGGGCACCACGTGCTTTCTCACTGGAATTAGAAACGCAGACGGGCTTCTCTTCATTACTGCTTCGTATTCCAGTATGTTTATTAAGACACGCTAAAAGTATTAGTCAGTGGTGGAGATGGATGTGATGTGCCTGTATTCTACTGCAGCTTGGTTAATAGCTATTTCACTTGGTGTTTACAGGTAATCTAGTAAAAACAAGTTGGTTGTCAGGTACTTGTAACCTGATAATCTGTGAGGTAAAAAATAAAAATAAAATAAACAGCAGTAGTAAAATTCCCCACTGTGAGCTTTTTCTCTGTGTTTCTGTGTAATGCGTTGAGTCTAAATGAAGATTCTGAAATTAAATCAGGTCGTTGCAGAGTCTGGTAATACAACCAACAAAGTGAAGTCAGCAGCTCACATTAACAATTCTACAACTCATGAACTCCCCACTGTGTTGTTAAAGTTCAATTAGGCTGCTTTAAATTGAACAACAAAAACTAACAGACAAAATAGTCCAATTCAAAATATAACAATTTCTCCCCTGGCTCAAATGTAGTAAGACGCTCACAATTGGTTAGTAATTGGGTTGGCAAATTAAAGACATTAGCTGAAAATCAACACGTTTCAGTGCCTTAAGAACATACCAAGAAGAAGAGAGAACAGCGAGGCAAGGACAATAAAGGTGCATAATGCGCAATATGTTGTAGATTTTACAGCAAACAGGTCTGAGGATTGGTGCTGCGTGCAAATATTAGTGGAACAGAATGAAATGACTGTCAGGGCAATGATTCCTCTTTCAAAACATAAGAAGTAGTTAGCCTCACCCCCTTGTGGACAGGCAAGGTAATGACCTGAGAGGTAGACACATTTCCTGCTGTTGCCACTGCTGCTCTATTACTTCAGCTCAAGAACAATACATGCTCTATTACTTCAGCTCAAGAACAATCTCACAACAATACGTTGGATGTTCTCAAATATTTCAGCAACATCACAGGGTTTGGTGGCATGTCTCGAATTGAGATGAAAAGGCTCTGGAAAAGGCTGGAAGCTGCACTAATAGCACTAGATATAAGAAAATGTTGAAGAAACCAATGTGCTCTGCACATCTTTTTTGGCACAGTGACTTTATATAAAACCCTTCAAATAGCACTTGAATCCCTGAGAGGCTGGAGCTGACTCTGACACTTGATCTGTGTCTTTGCTGGCTGTGTTAACACTGAGTGACTTGACACTGAGGTCAGACGCCGATTTCTCTCCCAATTTTGGAGATATATTTTGTGATTTTGAAACTAGAAAAATGATGGCATCGTCCACTCTCCGATCGTTCCATAACCTTTAAAAACAGTTGGGTCAAGAGAGGTCGTGATAAAGATCAACTGGAAGTAAACAAAAAAAGAAAAATGGAATCTCCATGACCTTTCTGCCTAGACCGTTGGTTTGTTTTGCTTTATCCATAAGCGCTCCCACATAACTCACCAGGTTGGAGTTTTCTTTTTAAAGTTTGTGTTAGTTTGTACTGTTTTGCATGCATGTGGTCCAGTTTTTCACATTCCAACATACTAGTTTTCAAGTGAAGACAGACAAGGACAGACAACCTTCCCCAAATACTTTTAGATGGTCGCAAAAAGTGCTGTGGGTTTATTTTCCGGGAGAGAAAAGGCATCAGAGATTGTCAACGGAGAGTGATAACTGCCTCCGACAAGCTCTGTGAGGATTGGAAAATAAACTGGTCCACCAGGAGGATCCATAAGTGCTGCTGCTTGCCAATGTCAAGTGCAGCTTTTAGTACTGACATCTGTGCACATTGCTCAAGGCGTCAGTGTTAGTGAACGTAAAGCTGGTTCAAATGTGTTGGTTCTGCACTTCTGCCCGGAATGACCAGATTCTGCTGAGCTTACTACATCCTATAATTAAGTTAAATAATATCCATATGAACACAATGGTGTGATTTATCACTGAAATAAC